AAAAAAAAGTAATCATTTTTTTGTTTTTGAGTTGGAGTCTCACTCTGTCACCCAGGGTGGAGTGCAGTGGCACACTCACAGCCACTGCAGCCTCAACCTGCTGGGCCCAGGGGATCCTTCCGCTCTAGCTTTCCAAGTAGCTTATACTACAGGCATGCACCACCACGCCCGGTTAATTTTTTGATTTATTATAGAAACAAGGTCTCACAATGTTGCCCAGACTGGTATTGAATCCGTGGGCTCACACAATCCTAAGCCACACAGCAGCCTTAAGATGAAATCTTTAACAGGCTGATTACAAAAGAAGACACACTATTTACATTCATATTACGGGTATGTAAATATTGTTTACTGTAAGGTTAAACTATGCTAGGACGACAGACCTTGCTCTACAAGGTCACACAGCTCCAAGTACCAAGGGGAGAATCTTTCTAGCGTTAGGGCAAATGGGTTCTCTCTTTAAATATTGTTGAAATTACATCTCATTTTTAGGCCACCACTTTTCAGGGGATTTCTGATTGCCTTCTTTTTCTTGTTTAGAAGACCCTCTTCCATAGTACCAAGCTTCTTACTCATTCTATCCACTACTAAATGAAATGGACTTTCCTTAGAAGCTCTTACAGCCGGTTGACTTCCTATTCTAAACTGAATTTTTTTCCCAGCCTGCTGCACAGCTGACCTCCTGGTTGTTTTTGACTACAAGTCTTCCTTCCGAGGTTCATCCTCATTTGGCTGCAGTACACCCTCAAGTCACCTCCTCAGAAAGGGGGCATCCAACACAAAACAAACTGTCATTTCTCACCCTTGTGCTTGCTGGATCAAGAATTCTGTGCTTACAGTACTTTTTCCTCCCAGGACACTGTTTGATTGTCTAATTACCTACTGCCTTCTTTTCCAGACAGCCTGTCTCACTGGCATCTTTTTGCTTCTTTATCCTTGGTTTTTTGAAATCTCCCAATGAATGATGCCAGTCCTCATGGGTGGTCCCTTTCCTAAGAAGTAATGGTCTAAGGCCGCTCTGATGCAGACACCAGGTCGTGTTCCCAAGTCATATGTCCTGTAGATTTTCTGTTCGGAGGACTGGGGACAAACTGCCCCAATTCTCCAGAGAGGAGCAGCAACACCCAAGGTCACCTAATTATTTCTATTCTCCCATAGGCTCCTCTCTCTCCAAAGTCTTTCCCCAGCCCTCTGCCCTCCAATAAAATTACTTCACAATGTCAACTAGAGAGACTGGATTCCTCCCTCTCCTGATCCTTCTGGAAACTCTTTCACTGGCTGTCGTGAACTGTGCATTCCTGGGTCTCCTCCTACTTGGCTGAATGATACTTCTATTCTCACTAGTTCCTCTTAGTATAAAAATCGCTAGGGTTTCCCCACGATTTTATGCTGGGGTCTTTTCATTCCAAAATCTTCCCCCAGAAGCTTACTTAGCATGGTTGTGCTTTTAGCTACTCCTCCTCTGATGATTCTAGCTCCAACTTACCTCCCAAAGCCACTCAAGTCCAACATGGATGATGCTTTATTACATCTAAAACCGAACGCTGCCTACTCTGAACACCAAACCAGAACCGTCTCCAATTTCCCCTGTCAACCAAAGAATTAAGTTTTGCTTTTTTTTGAGTTGGAGTCTCACTCCGTCGCCCAGACTGGAGTGCCGTGGTGGCTCCCGGCCACTGCAGCCTCGACCTGCTGGGCTCTGGCAAGCCCTCCGCCCCAGCCTTCCAAGTAGCTGGAACTACAAGCGTGGGCTACAATACCCAGCTAATTTTTGATTTATTGTAGAGATGAGGTCTTGCCAAGTTGCCCAGCCTGGTTTCAAACCCGCGGGCTTAGGCAATCTACTCACCTCGGCCTCCCAAAGTGCTGGGGATAACAGACTGAGCCACTGAGACCGGCCAGAATGAAGCTTTTAAAATTTTTATTTTTTTGAGTGGGAGTCTCGTCTGTTGCCCAGGCTGGAGAGCAGAAGCACACTCATGGCCACCATAGCCTTGACTTGCTGGGCTCAGGCGACACTTCGGCCTCAGCCTTCCAAGTAGCTGGAACTACAAGCATATGTCACCATGCCTGGCTAATTTTTCTTCCTTTATTGTAGAGATGAGGTCTCACCAAGTTGTCCAGGCTGGTCTTGAACCCATGGGTTCAGGCAATCCTCTCACCTTGGCCTCCCAAAGTGCTGGGATTATAGGCATGAGCCACCACGCCTGGCCTTTTTATTTTTTTCTGAGTTTGGGTCTCACTTTGTCACTCAGGCTAGAGTGCAGTGACACAATTCAATCATAGCTCACTGCAGCCTCGACCTCCTGGGTTCATGGGATCCTTCCGACTCAGCTTCCCAAGTAGAACCCACCGTCTCGTACCACCACGCTTTGCTAAGTTCTTTATATTTTTATAGAGACTGGGTTTTGTCTGCTATGTTGCCTCAGCCTGTTTCGAACTCCTGGGCTCAAGCAATCCTCCCGCTTTGGTCTCCCAAAGTGCTGGAATTTCAGGCATGAGCCACGGTGCCCAGCTGGAGTGAAGCTTTTAATGTCAATTTTGACTCTTCCCTTTCTTGTTCCCTGCCCCTAGACACAGTCAATCTGTCTTTAACAATCCAGGGCGGGTAGATAGCTGCAAGGTAATTCTTTCAAATTAATCATACAGCTAAGGGCCTTCTGCTCAAAACCTTCAGCAGCTGCCCTCTGCATTCCAAAAAGTCCTTCTAGGTTGTCCCAGGTTTCATGGACCTAATGATCTGCCTCCAACGAAGCTGAACTCCAGTGGTTTCCCTACAGGCACTCTTAGTGCCGGCAACCCCCATACCTCCACCTATCAAAGCTCCATGTTCTTCAAGGCCCAAACCAAACGCCAGCCCTCCACAAGCTCCTCTTGATTCCCGCTACGTCTCTGTATCCTCACTAAGTTCTGAGCATGTAAGGAAGAACTGGCTAAGAATGCAGGACAATATTCGACACTGGCGTGGTAACTGATTTAACCTGTCCAAAAACGAACCTCATGCTGACTACCCACCCTACAGACTCAACTTTCATTTCTTTCTTTCTTTTTTTTTTTAGGAGAAAGGGCAGTTTGATTCACATAATTGCATTTGAAATATGAACAGCAATAAAAGCTGGAACACAATACTAACACAGAAAGAGCGCCTACACTTTGTTAAGCCGCGATAAGTTCATGTGTATATTCCCGATAGCTATAGTTTCACTGGAGAGAAAAGGATTTCCTTTGTCAATGGAATTCTTACGCCCATTTGACACATGGGGGCTCGGGCGGCACTCAGACTCGCCCACCCGGCTTGAGGGAGGGTCAAGAGGAAGCCAGGACACTCCAGGGTCTGCAGCTCTTCCCTCAACCACTCTGCTCTCAAGAGAAAGAGACAAGGCACCCCACTCTGTTCTGAGGATGTGCAGGATCAAGAAGATCCACTGCTTCCTGACCCTGCCCACCCGGATTTCCCCGGCTATTCCAGGCTGCATCCATCCAACCTCAAGGAGGGAAAAGCATCAGGCCTTCTGCCCCCGAGTTTATTAGTTCATTTCATCAAAAATCGTACAACTCTGTGGGTATTTCTACTCCTTGTAAAAATTGCCAAACAGTACCAGAAAAGAAAAGAACACACAAAGTAAGCTTCCGTAGGAGCCCAGCCCATTTCAGGCAAAACATCCAGTGGGTTCAGATCTTCTTGAGTACTCACTAGGGAAAGACACAGGGATCCCAGCCATAAATTTTTTATCTCTTCCTATCATGCTTCCTCAAATTAACAAAACACTGGGTGTTTAACTGATGACATGTAGAAATAAACTGATGAAAGTCTTTCCAGTGGTCAGCTGGGTGAATCTAGCACAGACCTGGGTCTCTCACAGCTTCATCTAGCTTAACACATCCAAGTTTACAATGTATACAAAAAAGCCATGAGTCGTGTAAGGATACCCACTTCAAAAAAACAAATTATACGCAATCTTATTTATTCGTAAGCAATGCCAATAACGGGAATTAAAGGATATTTGCCTCCTCATATTGTCTGCAAGGATGTAAAATGCTGCCACTAACATTAATAGCATAGTTACAACTAAAAATAAAACTGACAGCTTTTGTTTTCAAAAGGTACTCTAGAGAAAGAATACAAACCACCATTGCAACTTAGGCACAAAACAATACAGCTGGTAAGACTCAAGCACTTTCTATAATTGAAAGAAAGTTCTTATAACTTACCTAGCAAATTCTGCCAGTTGTTTGGGATCTGAGAGGTCAATGCCAGGAATTCCTCCAGGAGGAAGTTTCTTTCCTGTCATGTACTCTGAGTAATCAGGAGGTGAGTTCTCTCCAATGATCTGCTCTTCAACCACTGTCTCATGGTCAATATCTTTTTTTTCATCTGAAACACATCATGAGATTGATTATCTTAGCTGGGTAAATATATCTTAAAAACTGTGAAACCTGCTTTCACTAGCAGCTTCTTCCTAATGACGACCCACAGCTACCGCCTCAATGTCTCCACTGTCCATTCCTCATCCTCCATCTTTTGCAATCCTGTTTCTGCTCGAAAGGCACCAAATCTCACTGCCCAACCCAATCACCTTTACGTTGGTGCTCCTCCTCAGGGCTCCTCCCGAGAAGAGTTCATGACCGGTGTCTCTGTCAATGCTGATTCCACCCCACTCCTCTCATGGGCTCATTTGCAGTTTCCTTCCTTCTCCTCCTACTTCTCTGCTTTTTATCCAGCACACACGCTTCCTGCAACTGCCACTTGAACCTGACTTGCTAGCCTTCCTCCTCTGCCTCCCTTTCCAGCCCCTCCTTCGGCATAACTCTCTCTTCACTCCTCGCCCCACCTGCACTGGCCCTTTAGCTCCTCAGTGTTATCATGGACCACCCATCCTAACATCATGGTCTTTATCATACAGTTTCCACTGACCACATACCATTTGTAATTATAGCTGTGTGATTTTCGTTGGTCTCTCCCACTAGCCTGCAAGTTTTATGAGGACAGGGAACTTGGTCACTGTTGATCCCAAGTGTTCCCAGGGCCTTGTTCAAAATCTGCACAGAACTGGCCCTCAAAAAGAATGGAGCACATCTCTACTTGTATGTCTTATTATCATCTCAAACCCAGCAGGTTAAGACAACCAATATAGTGACCACACATAATTTCCTATATCTCAGACACCAAATCCTATTGAAGACCTTTATAAGCTCTTCTCTTTGTCCCACTGTCATCAACTTAGTTTTTATTCTCTCAAGCCTAAATGACTATAATAGCTTCTTGACTGGCTTTCACAATTCTGAATCTAGTAATGCTGTAAAGGATAAGGTGGTCCAGAAAATACAGCTGATATATTCTCACCAAGGTGCAAGTCTGTCAACAGGGTAATAATTACTTCACTATGGCATCCAGGCTCCTATGTTGTCTGGTTCTATTCTAGCATATCTGGTCTCACCTGCTATCTCTCCTATGCCCATGCCCTCTAATCAGCCTGTTCTTCTCACAGGTTAATTCACAAGTGCCTGGCAGGGGGCATTCAATAAGCATGACTTTCCTCATCGTTTGCTCTCTCAGTCCAGGCTCTCCTCAGTGACTAACTCAAATTCTTTTAGCGTTTGTTGATTCTACCACTCCAGCTACAGATTTCTCCTTTTCTTTGAACTCCTAGATTATTTCATGATAACAAGATTAACAGGCTCTAAATCACTCCATTTTGAAATTTTGCTGACCTTGTTTCAAGTTAGAGTGGACGTGCCCAAAGACTAAAAGCAGTCTTCTACTAGTCTAAAGCAGAAAACAGGTATTCCAAAATGTTCAATGCTAACTGAAAAATTTTCTGCTTCTGGATCAAACTGTTTCACCAAGACTACTAACATAAGGTCTTTTAGACATGAAAACTGGGCTGGGGGCTGTGACTCATGCCTATAATCCCAACATTTTGAAAGGCCAAGTCAAGAGGATCACTTGAGCCCCAGATATTAGTCTAGGCAACATAGTGAGACCCTGTCTCTATTTAAAAAAAAAAAAAAAGGAAAAAGTGAAAACTGGCTTATTTGAGTATTACTCTTCCACCAATGTTTAAAAAAAGACCAACAACCAAATCAGACCAAAACCAAACCCTTGGATTATATGTCCAAGGCTAACGATTTATAGATGAAGACTATCCAAACAGATGAAGGGGTCAGGAAAAAATGGCTGGAGGATTAATTTTTTAGAAGGAGAGGAAATGTTGGTTAGTGATCAAAAGTTCCAAAGCCAGGACTCTGAACTGTATCCAAATTCTTTACCTTCATTCCCTTTCTCAGAGCTGCCTATCCCCTATTGATAGGACATCCCCTTTATCTGCCAATCTCCCGACTACTACCTCAAAACTTTCAAGTGGTACAGAAACAACACTGATGGCTAAGGAAGCTATTTTTCTTCTCTGATTTTTTTCTTTTTGAGTTGGAGTCTCACTCTTGTCGTCTAAGCTGAAGGGCAGCGGTGTGCCTCTCACAGCCACTGCAGCCTCTACCTGCTGGACTTAGGCGATCCTTTCGCCTCAGCCTTCCAAGTAGCTGAAACTACAGACGCACTCCACCACGTCTGGCTAGTTTTTGTGATTTATTGTAGAGACGAGGTGCCATCATATATAAAGAATGACAGCAAGGACCGGGCTCGGTGGCTCAGTCTGTAATCCCAGCACTTTGGAGGCCGAGGTGAGTGGATGGCCTGAGCCCGCGGGTTCGAGACCCGCCTGGGCAACTTGGTGAGCCCTCATCTCTACAACAAATCAAAAATTAGCCAGGCGTGGTAATGCACACCTGTAGTTCCAGCTACTCGGAAGGTTGAGGTGGAAGGATTGCCGGAGTCCAGCAGGTCGAGGCTGCAGTGGCTGGGAGCGGCCACTGCACTCCAGTCTGGGTGACAGAGTGAGACTCCAACTCAAAAAAAAAAGAATGACAGCAAGGTTGAGAATCACTGCTACTCTGAGTAGGTGTCTTATTCCATTTCAGCTGCTACTGAGAAAAGTGTCTTAATCCATTTCAGCTGTTACAACAAAAATACCATTGCCTGTGTAGCTTAAGCAACAAAGACAACTTTTTAATTCTTTTGATTGATTACGGGCATGAGCTACCGTGCCCACCCATGTTTATTTCTCACAGTTAAGGGGCCAGAAGTCCAAGATCAGGGTACCAGCATGGTTTCATCCTTGGTGAGGGCCCTCCCACACCCCAGTGGTTTGTAGACGGCCATCTTCATGGTGCATCCCCACAAAGACCTCCCTGAGGTCTCTTTTATAAGGACACTAAGTTTATTCATTAGGGCTCCACCCTTAGACCCACAAAGGGCCTATCCCCTGATGCCATCACACTGGGGACTGGATTTCAACATGTAAATGCAGGGGGGAGTACACAAACATTCAGTCCACTGCAAAGGGTATGTCTCAAGTATGCTGAGACGGAAGAATGAATGACCTTACAGCATAAAGGAGTAAGAGTCAGGCTCGGTGGCTCAGCCTGTAATCCCGCGCCTTTGGGAGGCTGAGGTGAGTGAACTGCCTGAGCCCACAGGTTCGAGACCCGCCTGGACAGCGAGACCTCATCTCTACAATAAATCAAAAAATCAGCTGGGCGTGGTAGCGCATGCCTGTAATTCCGGCTACTCAGAAGGCTGAGGCGGAAGGATCGCCGGAGCCCAGCGGGTCGAGGCTGCGGTGGCTGGGAGCAGCCACTGCACTCCAGTCTGGGTGACAGAGTGAGACTCCAACTCAAAAAAAAAAAAAAGGAGTAACAGGACAAACTATTCCTTCCGTGAGTTCAATATATGCCAAGAGCCTCCTGTGTACCTAGCACTGTTCTGGGCACCGAGAAAAACAGCCAGAAACAAAATAAGTGATTTGCCCTCATGGAACTTACATTCTAGTGAAGGAAGTCAAATGAGGCTCAGTTCTTAGTACCAACATCGAAGACTATTAAGAACCCAGAGAACAGTCACTAAGACGATTCAGAATTAGCACACACACAAATATATGAAATAAGACAAAAGTAGAGGCTGACAAGATTTTATGATCTATATCAGTGTTGGCAAGTACGACTGGTGGGCCAGTCTTAGCAATTTCAGCCATCTCTTTTTTCTTTCATTTTCCAAGGTTTGCTTAAAAAAAAAAAAAAAAAAAAGTAGTGAAATGTACAATTCAGTAGCATTAAATACATTCACAATGTTGTGTAACAATAACTATTATCAATGCTGAAAACTTTTCTGTCATCCCCAAAAGAAACTCTCTACCCACTAAGTAACTCTCCCCTTTCCCTAGCCCTTGCTAACTTCTATTCTATTGTGTCTCTATAAATGTGTCCAAAGTATTATCGTATCTTTGTCTTCCATGTCTGGCTTATTTCACTAAGCATAATGTTTTCAAGGTCCATCTGTTGTAGCATATGTCAAGATTGCATTCCTTATCATGGCTGTGTAATATTCCCATACATACATATCACATTTTGCTTATCCACTTTCCTGTTGATGGACACTTGAGTTTTACTTCTACTATTTAGAGATTACAAAGGATGCTGTTATAAACCTTGATGTGCAAATATGCTACCTATTTTTTTTTTTTTTGAATTGGAGTCTCATTCTGTCGCCCAGACTGGAGTGCAGTGGCTGCTCCCGGCCACCGCAGCCTCGGCCTGCTGGGCTCCGGCGATCCTTCCGCCTCAGCCTTCCAAGTAGCCGGAATTACAGGCATGCGCTACCACGCCCGGCTGATTTCTGATTTATTGTAGTGATGAGATCTCGCCTGCCCAGGTGGGTCTTGATTCCATGGGCTCAGGCAATCCACTCACCTCAGCCTCCCAAAGGCGCAGGATTACAGGCTGAGCCACCGAGCCCGGTTGCTACCTACTTTTATAAATAAAGCTTTATTGGAACACAGCCATACTCATTTATGCCAGTCTATGGATAGTCTATGGCTGCTTTCCCACCACAAGGATACATGGAATCAACTGCAACAAAGACCATATGAACCACAAAATTCTAAATATTACTATTTAGAAATTTAGAATATTTAGAATATTACTAAACATTATATTAGCCTTTACAGAAAAAGTATGCTGATCCTTAATTTATATAAAAGGATTTTTCTTAGAACAAGTGGAATTAAACTATAGGAGAAATTTCTCTATTTGAAATTTTTAAAAAATGTCTGACAGTGAATTGCTGAAGGATAGGATTTACCGCCAGATAAGACATTTGTCAGCAGGTCATTAAAAGAGGTGAAAGATATATTCTAGAGGAGAAACAGGACTACCAAGTATGTCATCTGTGTGGTGTCACCTGCTGAGATGGAGGACACAACAGGGGGAAGAGAAGATGTGCCAGAGGAGAGCTAGGGTCCTCTCTGGTTTGGGATTATCTGTGCAGCATCGAATGCACAGACCTCAAAGTGGCAACTGGATATGCAAGGGTAGGGGATAAAAAGAAATCTAGGTCAGAGGGAACACAGCAGAAACCCCTGGCAGTACTCTACAGTCTCAGAGATGCGTCAACTTATCTACTGAACAAGAACCCTGACTAGAGTACAGGGATCAGAACCCAAACCCAGGCAATTCCAATACTGAGAACAAGGAGGACTGCAAGGGAGACCGAAGAGATCTGTCCATAGGTAGGGAGACGGCAACTCAGCCTGATAAGAATTTTACTAAGCGACACACCAAGAGAAAAGGGCTTCATGGTCTGGGCATAACTTGAAAACCATAATAGCCAGGCTCGGTGGCTCAGCCTGTAATCCTGAGCTTTGGGAGGCTGAGGTGAGTGGATTGCCTGAGCCCATGGGTTCAAGACCCACCTGGGCAACTTGCCGAGACCTCATCTCCACAATAATTCAAAAATGAACCAGGCGTGGTAGCGCGCGCCTGTTAGTTCCAGCTACTTGGAAGGCTGAGGCGGAAGGATCGCCAGAGCCCAGCAGGTCGAGGCTGCAGTGGCCGGGAGCAGCCACTGCACTCCAGTCTGGGTGACAGAGTGAGACTCCAACTCAAAATAGTAATAATAATAATAATAAAACTGGGTATCACTTTGCTCTTCATTATTACCATAGCCCTATACTTTAAAACAATGT